TGCATGAGGAGAGGGAGAGGTGGGTGCAGAGAACTGAGAGAGTGATGGGTCAGAGAGAGAGCTGTGGGGGTGCAGACAGAGGGAGAGTGGGAGCAAGATGAAGAGGGAGTGGGGGTGCAAGAGAGGGAGATGGGTGCAAGAGAGCTAGAGGGTGCAGAGGAGGAAGAGAGATGGGGTGCAGAAGAGGAGAGTGGGGTAGGCAGGAAGAGGAGATGTGGGATGGGCAGGACAGTGTCGGAACATAAACATCTGACTGATAGATTTACGGGTAGAATATTCTAAATGACCATTTTAGCACGGAAAGCCATTGTCTGCCCCACGTGTGATACTACCACCACTACTATACCACAACGACTACTACCACACACCACTAATACCACACCAGGCTGGAATACTGCGGTACATTAACATCCCCATTAAGGCAGGTGAAATTGCAGAGCTAGAGGAATGTACAGAGAAACCTTTGCACGTATAAGTTCATCAAACACCTTAACTACTGGGAGCGCCTGGAAGCACTTGACTTGTACTCACTAGAGCGCAGGCGAGAGATATATAACATAATCTACACCTGGAAGATTCTGGAGGGACTGGTTCCTAATATGCACACAGCAATCACTCCATACGAAAGCTAAAGACTTGGCAGGAGATGCAACATACCCCCAGTGAAAAGTAGGAGCGTCACTGATACACTAAGAGAAAACACAATAAGTGTCCGGGGCCCAAGACTGTTCAACAGCCTCCCACCAGCAATAAGGGGCATTACGGGAAGACCCCTGGTTGTCTTCAAGAGGGAGCTGGACAGATACCTAAAGACGGTGCCGGATCAGCCGGGCTGTGGTTCGTACGTTGGATTGCGTGCGGCCAGCAGTAACAGCCTCGTTGATCAGACCCTGATCCACGGGAGGCCTGGTCGTGGACCGGGCCGCGGGGGCGTTGATCCCCGGAATGCCCTCCAGGTAGACTCCAGGTAGGTAGACCACTACTACCACTACCATCACCACCACCATCACCACTACCACTACCACCCCTACCTGCCCTACCACCACTACAACAACCACTACGACCATACAACCACCACCACTACGCACAATGTATATACATGTCTTGACACACAACAAGTCAGGTATCTACTGTAACCACTGAGACAATGGTTACATGAACCACATCACCTGTATAATACCCAGCCATCCTAACCCCAATGATTATATCTCCTCGAAGGCAGAAAATGGTCTCATTTTTTCCTTCAACTTTCGTTATTTCTTTCATAGCACGAGGTACGTCACTTTGACTTTCACTGGTCCAAGACCGACCGAAACGTCGTAAGTTCCTCTCTCCTGTGTGCGGGTTAACTGAGTATTGTTCCAGTCACGGTATTGTGCCTTTTTTCTCTCTCCTTTAATATACACTATGTATGATAATTGTACTTATGTCTTCCTATGTCTCAATAAATTTAACACCTCATCCCATCACCATCAACTTTTCAACGCTGGTGTACGGTAACTAGGCCCAAATTCTTGGAACACCCAGCATGTGCAGGTGTCTAGTGACCAATGTTACTGAAGCCATTCCCAGTATTCTACAATGGTTCTGATGACGTTAAAGACCCTCAGTAGAGGAGTTTCAAAAGGTTGAAACATTTGCCTTTGTGAAATTCCTACGTATAGAAACACATCTGCCAATTTTACTTGTGCAACAGAGCGAAATTTTATTTATAAAACTTACAATTTTGGCTTAAATAGCAAGTCTCTTCTTGCCGAATAAGGCAAGCGAAAATTTGTGCATGCAATAATTTCGCTAATAATTAGGCTAAATTAAATTGCGCTTGTTATAATAAGGTTAGGTAAGTTTTCCGAGATTCTTTTGGTACAAAATTATTAATTTTTATATTAACATATATGAAAAAATATATCTTTAAACGTACAAGAGAAAATTTTAAGACTTAATTTTAAATGAGTTCTTACTAACTGAACAGTTTTATCTATTCAGGTAATCAGTCCCTCAGCCCTGGCTGAGGGACTAATTACCTTATCTTTTTATATAGATTTCTCAACAGTAGGTCCTTGTATTGATTAAGTCACTAGTTGGCGAAACATCTACAATTGAAGATACCCAGATGTTGCACATGTATCTAATTCTAGGTGAGGTTTGTCAGGAAACAGGACAAGTGCTTCCTGACGCGGGTCTTATCTTATGATGACCCGCAGCTGGAGCTTCTGGTTATCTGACCGAGACCTTCCACTGGATTACTCCTCCACCCCTTTAAAAATTATAAAATTAGATTCATAATATAAGGGAGAGAGGAAGAGAGAGAAGTATGCAAGGAAGGAAGGAGGAAAGAGGAGAAGGAAGAGTGGAAAGAGGGGAAGGGAGGGAGGGTATAACCCAACATAGAAAAAAACAAACGAGAGGAAACTAGCAACAACTACACTAACAATAACAGCATGAGAGAGAGGAGGGTAGAGATGACCAACCGTTGTCAGTGACGTGATAACACTGTTGTCAGTGACGTGATAACACTGTTGTCAGTGACGTGATAACACTGTTGTCAGTGACGTGATAACACTGTTGTCAGTGACGTGATAACACTGTTGTCAGTGACGTGATAACACTGTTGTCAGTGACGTGATAACCTGTTGTCAGTGACGTGATAACACTGTTGTCAGTGACGTGATAACACTGTTGTCAGTGACGTGATAACACTGTTGTCAGTGACGTGATAACACTGTTGTCAGTGACGTGATAACACTGTTGTCAGTGGCATGACCACACTGTTCTCGGTGACATGATCACACTGTCAGTGGCATGATTACACTGCTGTCAGTGGCATGATCACACTGTTGTCAGTGACATGATCACACTGTTGTCAGTGGTATGATCACACTGTTGTCAGTGACATGATCACACTGTTGTCAGTGGTATGATCACACTGTTGTCAGTGACATGATCACACTGTTGTCAGTGACATGATCACACTGTTGTCAGTGACATGATCACACTGTTGTCAGTGGCATGATCACACTGTTGTCAGTGACATGATCACACTGTTTGTCTAGTGACATGATCACACTGTTGTCAGTGGTATGATCACACTGTTGTCAGTGACATGATCACACTGTTGTCAGTGGTATGATCACACTGTTGTCAGTGACATGATCACACTGTTGTCAGTGGCATGATTACACTGCTGTCAGTGGCATGATCACACTGCTGTCAGTGGCATGATCACACTGTTGTCAGTGACATGATCACACTGTTGTCAGTGGTATGATCACACTGTAGTCAGTGACATGATCACACTGTTGTCAGTGACATGATCACACTATTGTCGGTGGCATGATCACAGTTGTCAGTGGTATGATCACAAGTCAGTGACATGATCACACTTGTCAGTGACATGATCACACTGTTGTCAGTGGCAGGATCACACTGTTGTCAGTGGTATGATCACACTGTAGTCAGTGACATGATCACACTGTTGTCAGTGGTATGATCACACTGTTGTCAGTGGACATGATCACACTGTTGTCAGTGGTATGATCACACTGTAGTCAGTGACATGATCACACTGTTGTCAGTGGTATGATCACACTGTTGTCAGTGACATGATCACACTGTTGTCAGTGGTATGATCACACTGTAGTCAGTGACATGATCACACTGTTGTCAGTGACATGATCACACTGTTGTCAGTGGTATGATCACACTGTAGTCAGTGACATGATCACACTGTTGTCAGTGGCATGATTACACTGCTGTCAGTGGCATGATCACACTGTTGTCAGTGACATGATCACACTGTTGTCAGTGGTATGATCACACTGTAGTCAGTGACATGATCACACTGTTGTCAGTGACATGATCACACTATTGTCGGTGACATGATCACAGTTGTCAGTGGTATGATCACACTAGTCAGTGACATGATCACACTTGTCAGTGACATGATCACACTGTTGTCAGTGGCAGGATCACACTGTTGTCAGTGGCATGATCACACTGTAGTCAGTGACATGACCAGAAAGATGAAATCATTCGGAAAGACAGGTGGATCGTGGTACAGGTGGTAGTTTCTTTGCCCACACACACACGGGTCGTGCCTTAATTACCTTGACAAGCGTGAACGGTGTTTGCTTCCTCCATGTCCTCGCCAAACAGTAAAAAACACGTGTAAACGAAACTCAAGAGGCACCTGGTCCAGCGGTTAGCGCACTGGCCTGTGATTTTGGAGGACTCGCTCGCTATGGGTTCGATCTCCAACACGTTCTGTGGTTTATCTTCGTCTAAGTCGCTCCACTTCTCAACTACTCTCAGGCTGAAGAATTACTTCCTAACATCCTTGTGGCTCGTATGTCCTAAATTCCAGTTATATCTCCTGGTCCTCCATCCTCTTCTCTAGTCTATTCCCGCAGCACCTGCAGTGTGACCTGCAGCACCTGAAGTGTGACCTGCAGCACCTGAAGTGTGACCTGCAGCATCTGTAGTTTGACCTGCAACGCCTGAAGTGTGACCTGCAGCACCTGAAGTGTGACCTGCAGCATCTGTAGTTTGACCTGCAACACCTGCAGTGTGTGACCTGCAGCACCTGAAGTGTGATCTACAACATCTGTAGTTTGACCTGCAACACCTGCAGTGTGTGACCTGCAGCACCTGAAGTGTGATCTACAACATCTGTAGTTTGACCTGCAACGCCTGAAGTGTGACCTGCAGCACCTGAAGTGTGACCTGCAGCACCTGAAGTGTGACCTGCAGCATCTGTAGTTTGACCTGCAGCACCTGAAGTGTGATGTACAACATCTGTAGTTTGGCCTGCAACTCCTGCAGTGTGACCTGCAGCCCCTGCTGTGTCTGATCTGCAACACTTGCAGTGTGACCTGCAGCATCTGCAGTATGTGACCTTCAACACATGCAGTGACCTGCAGCAGGTCACTGCACAGGTCCGGGAAGTCACAATATCCCCATGGCTCAAGAATTTCGATATATACGTAATATATCTCACTTACCTAGCGTGGGCGTGGCATCCTTCACGCCCTCGTGGGCGGGGCTGCAGTTGTTGTTGTTGTTGTTGTTGTTGCCGCCACTGTTGTTGTTGGAGGCGGAGGAGAAGGCGGCGTGTCTGAGGCGGGAGGTGCGGGTGGACCTCACGCCCATCACCACCTCCTCAGAGGACGACCCGCCCACCAGACGCCGCCCACGACCCTCCAGTGACGATCCGTTCTCCTGAGGTCTGAGACCAGAAACGTGAGTCATCAGTGACATGTACAAATATATGTGAAGAAGTGAGATGTTTATAGGAAGAAATGTGATATATATATATATATATATATATATATTATATATATATATATATATATATATATATATATATATATATATATATACGATGTGATGTTTATATTAAGTAATGTTTATGTGAGGTGGTAATGGGATGTCAATATGTAGTAAGATAGTGTACGTAGCAATGTTTAAAGAACATGTTTGTGCTGAGAGAGTATGTCAATAATGATGATAAGAAAAATGGGAAGTGTAAACACCAGAGGGAGGAGAGGCAGTGTGAGGGAGGAGAGGCAGAGTGAGGGAGGAGAGGCAGAGTGAGGGAGGAGAGGCAGAGTGAGGGAGGAGAGGCAGAGTGAGGGAGGAGAGGCAGTGTGAGGGAGGAGAGGCAGAGTGAGGGAGGAGAGGCAGAGTGAGGGAGGAGAGGCAGTGTGAGGGAGGAGAGGCAGAGTGAGGGAGGAGAGGCAGTGTGAGGGAGGAGAGGCAGAGTGAGGGAGGAGAGGCAGTGTGAGGGAGGAGAGGCAGAGTGAGGGAGGAGAGGCAGTGTGAGGGAGGAGAGGCAGAGTGAGGGAGGAGAGGCAGTGTGAGGGAGGAGAGGCAGAGTGAGGGAGGAGAGGCAGTGTGAGGAGGAGGAGAGAGCAGAGTGAGGGAGGAGAGAGGCAGAGTGGAGGGAGGAGGAGGGCAGTGTGAGGGAGGGAGCAGAGGAGCAGTGTGAGGGGAGGAGAGGCAGAGTGAGGGAGGGAGAGGCAGAGTGAGGGAGGAGAGGCAGTGTGAGGGAGGAGAGGCAGTGTGAGGGAGGAGAGGCAGAGTGAGGGAGGAGAGGCAGAGTGAGGGAGGAGAGGCAGTGTGAGGGAGGAGAGGCAGAGTGGGGAGGAGAGGCAGAGTGAGGGAGGAGAGGCAGATGTGAGGGAGGAGAGGCAGAGTGAGGGGGAGAGGCAGAGTGAGGGAGGAGAGGCAGTGTGAGGGAGGAGAGGCAGTGTGAGGGAGGAGAAGGCAGAGTGAGGGAGGAGAGGCAGGTGAGGGAGGAGAGGCAGAGTGAGGGAGGAGAGGCAGATGTGAGGGAGGAGAGCAGTGTGAGGGAGGAGAGGCAGTGTGAGGGAGGAGAGGCAGAGTGAGGGAGGAGAGGCAGAGTGAGGGAGGGGGGCAGGTGAGGGAGGAGAGGCAGTGTGAGGGAGGAGAGGCAGAGTGAGGGAGGAGAGGCAGTGTGAGGGAGGAGAGGCAGAGTGGGGAGGAGAGGCAGTGTGAGGGAGGAGAGGCATGAGTGAGGGAGGAGAGGCAGAGTGAGGGAGGAGAGGCCGTAGTGAGGGAGGAGAGGCAGTGTGAGGGAGGAGAGGCAGAGTTGTGAGGGAGGAGGCAGATGTGAGGGAGGGAGCAGAGTGAGG